TGATCACAGGAAAGCTTGATTATTGAAATTAATGAATTATTATTTATAAGAATTAGCATTTAGCTTTATCAACTGATCTATTTATTCAATTTTATTAAGTGGTCGTGGGTGTGTTTATTTAATTTTTAACAATATATTTTATATATTTAATTTGTTTTTATTTATTAACTTATTTATTAATACATTACTATTTAACCTAGATTTTATTAATTGTATATTTTAATTTGTTTTTACTTGTTAACTTATTTATTAATCCATTATTGATTAACTCATATTATATTAATTGTAGATTTCAATTTGTTTTTAATAAATTGATTTAATAGATTTTAACGTTTTACCATAGTTTATTTTATATATTTTAACTTAGTTTTAAGCAATAGAGTCTATAGATTTTAATTTCATTTTATATTTTAGCTTAGTTTTAAGACAGATTTTAACTTATTGATTAACCTTTTAACTTTGGCTCTATTGATTTTATATTGTGACTTATTTTTAATAAATTGATTTTATAGATTTTAACGTTTTACCATAATTTATTTTATATATTTTAACTTAATTTTAAGCAATAGAGTCTATAGATTTTAATTTAATTTTATATTTTAGCTTAGTTTTAAGATAGATTTTAACTTATTGATTAACCTTTTTAACTTGGGCTCTATTTATTTTACATTTTAACTCCTTTTAAGCATTTGATATTATTAATCTGATATTTAAGTGTGTATTTTGCCATATATTCATGTCTCTCCCGTTTAGTTTTTATTTATTTGTATACGGGTCCACTCTCCTTTAGATGTTTTGTTTTAACCATGCGTGTAGTACGCATGGTCTCTAAGAGGGGTATTGGATTTTGAGTGGACCTAAGGACAATGAATGAAGTCGAGATTGGCCAGAGGGTATGGGTTCGGAGAACTGGAGGACCTGCTCAGGAGGCTGTTGTTGCCTCTGTGATGTCTGTGGATGCCGCGGAAGGCGGCTAAAAGAAATTTGTAAAAGTCGAATGGCCAGACACAGAAGGTGTAATATCGGGAAAGACAGTTTCGATAGATGACGTCTTCTCAGCATTGCCAAATGTTCCACAGAATGTCGAGGAGGCGAACAGAGAGCAGGAGGAAGAAGTTCTACGCCCTAATAATAAAGTTTGTCCCATATGTGGGCTTTCTTTTAAGGGTGAAAGAGGTCTAGGAACCCATATTGCCAAAAAGCACCCCAGGGAGGCTAACACCAATACACTGAGGGGCATAGTGAAAAATGTTATAGGGCCTAAAAATGGAGTGGATGAGGTATCAAAAATAAAAGAGGACATCATCGAATGGTCTACTGTGTTCAAGAACCTCTCAAAAGAAAGCTCGATAAATATTGCGGATTTTGATGAGGCCGTAGGCAGGTTCCTGAAATTCCTCAAGAATAGCAATGCGGAACTGCCAGGTCCCCAGCACCCAGCCGTCAAATTTTACAGATTGAGAAAAAAAAAAAAAACTAAAGTGACTGAAAAGGGTGCTGGACAAGTCTCGAATCCGCAAAGAGCGAATAAAGTAGACAGGAGTCGCCAGCAAGAATAGTATCAATATGAGGTTGCACAATATAATTACTATAATAAAAGGAAAAAGGTCGTGCAAACCGTAATGAATGCCGACGCTCCTAAGCGGTGTCCTCTGAAGATGGCCTATATCGAAAAACATTATAGAGACCTCTTTGAGAGCGAAAATCTCCGCAGGCGTGCGGATTACGAATAGTGCGCCCCGATGCCAAATTTGGTGTCCATTGATCTAGAGAGCCGTCAAGAGAGCCATTAAATCAACATCAATGGACACATCGCCGGGGCCTGATGGAGTTCTGATCCGCATGATTAAATATTTTGATGTAGCAAATATTATCAAAACAATTGCGGAGATAATGCTGAAGGTGGCCTATGGTCCAGAACCACTTCGACAAGGGTGCAAAATACTAATATATAAGGGGAAAGGTGATGTAAACAAAATCCCTTCCTGGAGACCCACCACCATTTATTCTATTGTGCACCGAATCATAGAGAAGGTTCTAGTCCATGAACTAAGAAAGCAGGTCACCTTCCACAGGAATCAGAGAGGCTTTATAAAAGGCCTCCCGGGAACGCACGTCAACGCAAGGATTATCGACGCTATATTAAAAGATGCCAAAATTATGAAAAATGATTGTGCGGTAGTCTTCCTTGTCATTGTCGGTGCTTTTGACAATGTTGGCCATAAACACATCGTGAACTCCTTAGAAGAAAGAGGTGTGTCACCGGATCTTAAACGTGTTATATCGGCTCTCCTCTGCACCAACACAATCAAAATTAGTAACGGTGTTCACGCAACTAAGTGCTGCGCGGGGTACCCCAAGGCGGCCCCTTGTCGTCGTCGCTCTTCAACCTGGCCATCGACCATCTCTATCGCGACCTGTGCGATGAAGAATTTTCCAAAAAATTTGGATACAAGTTAAAAAGTGACCAAGGTTGTGTGGTCCTCACAGATTTCGCGGATGACCAGGCCGTGTCAGCGCGTGACAAGGGGGCTGCAGAAAGAGTGATCGGCAGCGTTCAGAGGACTTTTGAGGAAATTGGTTTGGCTATTAATTCTCACAAAAGCGTGGGAATCGTTCTAAATAAAGGAGAGCTGGAAACAGCGATGCTCTCCCTTAAGAACGGAGAGTACATCAAAACATTGCAGAATGGAGATACAATCAAGTATTTAGGATGTACATTCTCGGGAGAGCTACAGTTCAACGAAGATTCGGTGACCAAATTGAACGAAAATCTGAATAAACTGGTAATCTCTCCCTTGCTGAAGCCGGAGCAGAAGCTAAACATTGTCAACCAATATCTGTTCCCGGGTCTTACTTACCCTCCCCAAACTGCGCCCCTCACAAAGCTGCGTCCTGCCATACTTGACGGTATCGACACCATGATTCGCAGGAGTGTGAAGGCTATTGTTGGACTCCCTGCGAACACCTCCACGGCGATGTTGTACGCTCCCAGGAGGTATCGAGTATTAGAATTAATCCGCTGCTAATGGGAGACTCCTCTACAACATTGGTCCATTGCTCAGCGACTGTCCAATGTGCCCGATGCCCTTTTTCAGTCGATCTTTGATTATTCGGCTGAGGTTGATGAATGTGCCGAAAGATTGGGGGTTGATCGGGGTATTCGGAATATGAGAGCTCTACGACAGTCGCTTCGAGAAAATTTGTTTGAGGAATGGACCAATTGCAGGTGGCAGGGCATTGGAGTTTGCCATTTTAAAGAGACCCCGAAAGCCAATAAATACATGTATGATAAGCAAGTACTTTCTGGGTCTGAATGGCCAAATGCCCTGAAACTAAATATTAATTATACACCCCTGCGTGGAGTCCCAAGTGTCAGCGGACAGGTAAGAGAAGTTGGGTCCCTCTGTCGCAAATGCGACAGAGAGCCAGAAACACCAGCACATGTGCTTGGAAAATGCCCCAACAACTCCCTCCTTATAACGCGCCGTCACCACAGAGTCAAACATGAACTGATGAGGCTCCTTAAAAAGAGAGATTACGCCTGTTTCGAGGAAGTATATTGTATAGATACGGATGGATCCACCCGATATGCCGACATTGTAGCATTCCCTAAGACGGGAAAGTCGGCGATGATTTTGGATCCGACCGTGAGATATGAGACCAACGACCTCGATCATGCAGGAAAAGTGGAAAGGGAGAAAAAACAGACATATGAGAAATGCATCCCTTTCCTTAGTGAAAAGTTCCGCGAGAGTTTCGGGCCGAGAGAGTTCCAAGTGAGAGGCCTTTGGTTCGGAGCTCGCGGAACGATACCAGACTCAACAAGGAGCTTCATGGAGGGCCTTGGTGTCGACATAAACGACGTGGCAAGGTTGGCAGAGAATATAATCCTCGACTCCCTGGGAATTATCCATCACCATGTGCATGGATAGAGAGTTTGTTCGTGGGGGGAGGCATGCGTGTTTTACATTTACATTATTTATTGACCACGTCCACTGCACTTTATGTATTTGTATGCATGTTATGAATTAGGTTAGGAAAAGAGATGAGAAAATCTAGGGAACGAGAAAAATGTATAGAGTGAGAGAAGGAACAGAAAGGGATGTATAATGCTAATAAATGAATTAAAGAAATAGTAAAAATAAAATAAATAAATAAAAAAAGATATAGGAAAAAAATTATGATATAAAAAATATATATAGATTAAAAAAAAAATTGTATATTATGCTCATACATGTTGTTAATACTATATAATTGTATATTAGTTTTGGAAAATTGTCTGTAGCGATTAATAAGTATGCTGTGTTTAAAGCAACCCAATGTAATTGGGCAGCACCCTTTTATGATAATAAAGTGATTCTCTCTCTGCCTTTACCAACTGCGGTTGTCTTTGACCCAATGTATTGCGCCTTCGATATTCTCGAGAAACAAAACAATATTATATCTACTATATTTTAAACTAACATTGATATAACATCTCATATAGATACATATTAATTACATAAGTAAGGGGGGCAATAATATTTTTTGGGGGCATGCGCCATCGGGAAACGGGGGGAAACCTTGGGGGAAACGGGTACCCCTGAGTGGATGATGTTCTTACTCCTATGATGGAATATTCAGTATCACAATGTTGTGTTTTTACTCAAATCTTGGAATAGATTAAAGTCAAAAGGAGTGAAATTTTATTCTAAAACAGATAAGGTAAATGATAACTTATGGGGGTAAATGATAACTTTAACAGTGCTAGGGAAAGTCAACTTACATATTTCTCTTAACTCAAATATATTGGTAAATGATTTTTTCATATAAATGTAGAGAAAGGAGAGCCATTGTTGGACAAGAAAACGGTAGAAAAACCTAGTGTATTGAAAGTAGTGTTAGAGATAAGAAAGGTATCAAGAATGAATAAATTAAAAGGTTATTACACCTGACAATGAAAGTCAATTTGTTAGTTCGATATTTCGAGAATTCTGCGAAAAAATGACATTAAGCTGATGCACGCTCCTCCATATTTGCCTGAAGCTAATGGAGAAGAAGAAAGGCAAAATAGGTCATTGTTAAAGAAATTAAAAATTGCAAAGAGATTAAATTTGGACTGGAAGGATGATCTATATAAATATCTCTTCGATTATAGAACGATCCCTCATAACTCAACTGCAGTTTCACCGGCTGAAATATTCTTTAGTGGATATTCAAGGACCGAAATTCCTCAAAATGAAAATAAAAATTCTTTATTGGATGAAGAGTTGAGAGACAATGATAGATGGGAGAAAGAAAAAGGAAAAGAGTATCAGACGAAGCTAAGGAAGGCAGTTTTAAGTTCAGTCCAAAAAGGTGATCCAGTGTAGAGGCGTAGAGATGTGATCCACAAGTTGATCTCAAGCTTTCATTCTGAACCTTATAAAGTAGAAGAAGTAAAAGGCTTGCTAGTGAAGGCAAAGGCTGAAATGGGTTCTCGAATCACAAGAAATAGTAGTTTCTTTAAGACAAGGGAAGAAGAATCACAGTCGAACAATATGGAATCAGAGAGGACACAAGAAGAAAGATATGAGTTTGGTGGTAAGAGGCAGAAGCAGAAAAAAGAGGTGGAGTTAGATCTAATTGTAATTTTCAACTATATTTTATTTTTTAAAAAGTATCGCACACTAGCGTCCCCTCTCTTTTCCTTTCTTGTGTTACTACCGCTAATCTTCAAACAACTCCATTTTTGAGTTCACCTAAACAAACTAAAATGAAGGAGCATCGATCTGATACTTAATTCCATGTAAGTTTGTAACTTTGGATTGTCACTAGACAATATCAACAAAATCAAGGCGGATACAAAAAGTTTCATGTATTTTATATATATAAATGAGGAAAAAAATTCAATTTTTACATATTTTTTTTTCTTTAGGGGAGGCATCTGTCGCAACTTAACTATTTTTCTGGTATAAGTATGAAAAGAAAGTTAACTGGACTTCAAATTAACATGATCCTGCGAGCGACTTAGATACGAACTGACTAACGTTACACTACTTGATCATCCATTTCCTAATTCACTTCTAATCTTCATTGCTACGGCTTTTGGAAGAAATAAAGCATATTCCTTCACTCAGCGCGGCGGGCTCATCGATGGGATCGTTTCGCCCAGCTTGAGACGGATTAGATGCCATCGATGATTTCTGCGCTTAGTGAAGGAACCTGCACATAATATTGAACATCTCGAGCAAGAAAAACTATTAATATCTTAAACTCCGTCCTCGGGAATAAAAACATCATATATGAAATAAAACGATGAATTTAGTCACCTTTCTGTTTGGGACAGTCCTACGCATTGATGAACCATTGAAAATAAAAGTTGCACAGAAGTTACTATATTTAAAAATCGACTTTCTGAGTTTAAGTTGTTGCATTATAAGACTCTAGTAAATCTCAGTTAATATATGTTTAGTAATAAAAAACATATTTCATAATATGAAAACCAAAATGGTTCAAGTAACGGAGATTTTAATGATATAAAAAAAAAGATAGTAAAAAAAAAAATTGAACATTTCCTGTAGAGTAAAAGTCTGAGAAAACTGCGGGTCCAAGATTTGAAAGCGTAAACTATAGAGAATGAATGTTCAAAAGAAAATATGAAAGCAAGAGGCAGAAAACAAATTTAAACGTTAAAGTTGTAACATACCTTCAGTATAAGAACTATTCTATTGAGCCGCTTTATAATTCCTAATGTTTCACTTTCGTCTAGACCCTGAAACGTAAGATAGAAAGAGATATGTATACATTATGTATATTTATACATTAACCAATACTATATACAATCTTTCTTATTCTAGATTTAAATTTAAATTATTGCTTACCATGTGGTTACTGAAAACTGCTATTATCCAATCCAGGTCGAATATAATTTGTTTGAACCATAGTTCGTATGCTGGAAAAATAAATGAATTAATGTCCCAGGAATCATACAAATGTATCAGCTATAATCATATTCTTTTAATTAAAAAAAAAGTTAAAAGCGATTTACTCGTTTATATTTAGATTTTCAGTATAATTATGTTTATGGAACAAAACATGGTCATTAGTTATCTTGGTTGTCACAATAAATGACTAATGAGGTATTTGGTAATGGAGCTTCTCTATATTTATCAATCAATATTTCAAGTATATTATTTTATTAAATAATTATTTAAATATACTGATTGAAAATTTACAACTGTATTTTTTACAATACATCATACAAACTAGCTTTTGAGTTATTATACAACGGCCACACGTGGATTCAATGAGGCGTTCGGGACTAAAGCACCGTCTAAAAAAAGCTCTCAAAAAATTGAATTTTTTTTCATTTGTTAAAAGGTTTTTTTTTTCAGTCCCAAACGCCCTCCTCTCTGAACCCCGTCTCTTTCTATGGAGTGATCGGATCCACATACTTAAACTATCACAATATGTTTCGCTTCATCTTTTTAAATTTTAACCTATGCTTCAGGTTGAAGGGAAAAAAAAATCATTAAAAGCATTATTGTTCTTGTAATAGAAAAAAATGGATTACCTCCCCCACTAAAAAAAAATTAAATCCTTAATCCACTACTGACAATGACTACTACTTATTGAGAACTACCCATTGACAGTTTATACGGCAGAAAGTTATGCTGCTATTTTTAATAAAAGTAACTAAAATAACTCTGCGGATTGTTGTATTACATCTGAATCAATGAGAATAAAAACAGTAAAAGTCCAATTTTGACCATTTCGGAAAAAATGTTTTTTTATAGGTTGAAACCTGTAGAACTAGGCATCGATTACAAGACCAGTACGATAACAACACTTGTAGACCCTAAATTGAAATTGCTAGAAAATCAATGAGAGAAAAAACAGTAGGAGTCCATGGAATAATACTGTTGTTGCCAATAATCCTTGCTCGCACTAGTTCGTGCGTAAAGTTCGACATGAGCAGTATTCTTCGTTCTGTTCTTTCCTGCTGCTGTAACACAAATTAGGTTAAAGAAAAAGAGAAAACGTCTTTTCTCTGTAAAACCTGTTGCTTACGATTTCTTCACCAACTTTAAAGAATGGTGGCCATCTTATTTACAAGAAAACATCACAATCAATCATAAGTGAGTCGAACACGACTTTTGCAATTTCCGAGTACAGTTAATTTGAATACGATCCCTTCTTGTCAGGGTATGTCAAACATACGACTTTATCGATGTACTCACTTCTTCAACTTTCAAACTCATGCAGAACATGGATTAACAAGATCTTCTTTTAAAGGCTTACGATGAACCAATCTCGATAAATTGTAATACGATTGCGGATGTTGTTAAGCTGATGAAATGCATCACTCATTCGTACCTAGTGTTCTACCAGAACACCCAAGAATGGTAGGCTACCGAACACCAAGAAAATGAGTAACTTTCTCTTTTTCTTTATGACATTAACCTTGGAGTAGACAGTCACATTTTATTTCAGATGATTTATCATTGCAGTTCACACGAATAACGTTAATTTTTTAACTTGAATTTTGTTGAGAATAACAACATTACAAGTTCAATAATTTAATTTTTAACCTCATGTCCGTATCAAGTTCTTTTTTGGCGCATACAAATATCTGACAGTGTTGATCCGACCTGAAAGTATATTATCTGATAATTAACCAATCATTAAAGCACACGGACAGTTATGCACACTATAACCGAACCTTTGACTGCATATAACTCAAATAATTAATTTGGGGCATGTACTGTTGCCATTCTCACAGATTCATTTACAAGTGTGAAATCTACAGCTACTTTTGGAGATAAGTGGATGTAATTATTCTTTAGAATTTCTTCTTTACTTTATTAAGTATTTGTTTACATTTATTCTCAGTTTATAGTGAGATAAATTGACATCCTCAATTTTTAGAGGTCTTGTTTTTTTCACCATAGTCACGATGGTGAAACATATTTTGCCAGTGAATATGTTTTTACCGTTTACACCCCACCTCGCATTTTCTGGCATATCGGGAGGGGAGAGAGGGGAAGGGGGGAGGGAGGTTGTTCTAGAGGTACAACCTCCCTTTAAACCTAAACCTTTAACCTTTCTTTTATTTCCCTATTAATGGGTAAAGGAAGAATTTTATTCATTAATATTATTAATAAAAATTTAACTGTGAAAATCGATACCTTGGTGCGTAATGATAAATAAGTGTTCATCGGGAACAGTGGCTTTGTGTACTTCGCTTAAGAGCCGTTGGGCTGATAAAATTTTGTCTAATTGAAGATATTCGCCATACAGCATTCCATTTTCAGATTCTGTCAGTTTAGCAGCTTCAATTCTAAAAAGTAACAAATTTCTTTAAATGATTTTGCAATTTTATATAAAATAAAGTATTATATTTTATGTGTCATAAAAAGATGAAAATTATGTGTCATTTCACTGATGATCGACGTTTGATATTAGCTGTAACTACTGTACATAGAGTCCTGTAAATGAATGCTCGAAAAGGGTTATAGAAAGGAATGGCGGGGACACAATTTTTGTCTTTAGGACATTGTACTAATAAGGAGGTAAACATACTAAAAGTCCCCACTCCTAGATGGTGAGCCACATGTAGAGGGGCGGCCTGGAAGGTTAATTTTTCGCGTTTTCACTTATCACGAAAACTATCCATCCAAAACAAAGACGTACAAAATACAAAATTATAGCTGATAGAATTTCCAGTATGATTGATAATACATCTTTTTTCGCTACCTTGCTTAGTTTCTGAGATATCCGTCCTCAACTATGGCTAATTTTGAAAAAAAAAAAAACTTGCCTCATCTTTATTGCTCTTTTTCGGGGTTTCGCTTATGTCAGGAGAACTATCCATCGCATCGAAAACGACGTTCTATACAAAATTAACGCTGATGAAATTTTCAATATGATTGATTATACAGGGTATCCCGTAAAATAGAGGAAAATATTAAAAACGTTGATAGTAGGCATTAAGATCTACAAACAAGTGCATATAAACAGTTTTTTTTTTTTATGCAAGTCACATTTTTTGTTGAATAAGAAGCGATTGCTTAAAAATATTTGCTTTAAGTCATTAAACATTGCTCCACAGTAAACTAGACAAAATTTACTTTAAACGAAAGTAGAGTTTGCCATTGTTAAAACTATTTAAAAAGGACTTTTGAGCCCTCAAAAAGTCATAAATTATTTGTGATTTTTTTAATAAACCTTAAACTGTACTAAAATTACTCCATTTTTACAAAAACTTTCTCGTTGAATAAGGTTCAAGTTCATATTTATCAAATTGAGATTTATTAGGAAAAACTTTGAGATTCACCTCAAGTTGTGTAAAGAAATGATATAATTTTCTATCCAGTCACCTTACTTGTTTTCGGCCAAAATGTCTACAATGAACTGCTGCAAAGCTTTTATTTTTTCGTGATATGGGATGTATTATAATAAACATAATCGCCTAAAAACACATTTTATTTATCAAAATAAAAAAGTTAAAAATAATGATTTTTGAAACATTGTTCATGCAAGGTGGTTATGAAATTGTGTTTTTCTCCTAGATCTCCGTCATAGGAATTGATATGTATTTATCAGCGACAAACTTAGTCTTTTTTTTAATAAAATTTACGTTTAAAATAAAGAAACGTACTGATTGCTTCAATTCATACCGATTGTAATCATTCATTGACAGGACTAATAAGTGAGCCTCAGCTGGTACAAGGCATTCGGTATACAATACTGAGAACTGCAGTTGCAAACATTAAAATTCTTAAATGAAGAAATAAACTGGAATTTCGAACGAAACTGGACGAAGCAGAATGCTATAAGATTTGATATACAACTAATAGGTCAAGATCAAAACAAAATCATGTCTTATTCAAAATCTTATTAAATTATGTTAAGACAATTATTGTTTTTTCGTTTGCATATACTTTGATATCTAATTTTTATTAATGTATTTCATGTTCCTATTTCGTTACTGTTATAAGGTATATATTTATATTATAAGCTTATTAGCCGTATACGTATAATGATTTTCTTTCTTTAGTTTAGATATTAAAAATAAAAAAATAAACAACCGAAATTAACGTAGTTTTCAATTTTTGTAGACTCGTAATTATATAAAGTCATTAATACGTTATTGCAATAAAATAATTAGTAAGTTTAGTTTGTACATATACATACATACATATACATATATATATATACATATATATAAGTATAAGAATAGGTTAGTATATATAGGTCAAGATCAAAACAAAACCATGTAAAAGAATTATGCCTGCGCACGATCTCCTGTCTTAATAAAGGATAAATAGAAAATATTTATTTGAAATTTGAGATTGAAAGGGGCAGGAGTGGATCCATGCTTTAATTTTTTGTTTTTTTTAAATTACAGTTTCTGAAATTACTCTGGAATGAAAAAAAAAAAAAAAAATACCTCTATGAATTGCTGTTCCTTGAAGGTAATAAAAAAAATACAAAGTAATTATAGGAACAATAATCCTTTAAGATTATTTTTTTTCTTTACTCGTGCTCACATTTAGTAGTTGTATATGTTTTATAATTTAAAGAGAGAATATACTGTGACTGTTTATTTTTTTTACCTTAGGTCACTCACATAAACAAATATCAATCAATGAAAGAATATATTTTTTTATCCATTTGGAAGGGGGGGGGGAGGGGAGGCTTGAATCCGAATGTCCCACTCCCCCTTCCTAGACCCATCGTTAGAAAAGTGATATCGTATCGTGTATTAGCTTGGCGTGTACAGTATACTTATGTTCCAGCTGGACAGAGTATGCTCGATGCAATACTCTTTTACAACAGTTATTTTATCGTACATAAGTTAATTTTATTTTTATTTATTCTTGAATAAGTTATTTATTTTAAGATGTTAGAGATAAATAAATTACTCTTTGCTTTTTTTGTTTATCATCCCGGATAACAAAAGGGATAATGAAAGAGATGACATGTAAACTTCCTGCTTTACACTGACAAATCGGGATTGGTTAAATCAAAAGAACTGAAGGCGTCTCTACTTGTTACGGACATTTTAAGTTTTAGGTTGTTATAAAGATCATTTAGGTAAACAATAAACCAGTAAAAAGCCGCCAAGGGCTAAAAAGAATATGATTAAATAAAAATGAAAACTATAGAAGTTTATAAATAGTGACTAAATAAATAAAACAGCATTAAATGGAAAAAATACATTGAAACATCAAGAGCTAACTGCTGATGTATTAAAAATGAATTAAAAGATAAATACAAAGGATAAAGAAGAAGATAGTAAAACTATAAATATAGTACGAAAAAAATATAATATACGAAAGACTCAGAAATAATTGGAGACAAAGTAAAAAATAATTCAAAAGGTTGAATAAATGTATAGGTATTCAAAATGAAAACATCTATCGTATCAAATAAAATATTAAAAACCGTTAACATGTAGAATAAATTATAAAATAATATGGAAAAAATAAAAACAAAATCTTGAGATCTGTACATTGTAAGATAGTACAGTTTCAAGGTCAACGGTTGTGCAAGTTGATTTGACCGATATCAGTCTTAATCGCAAGGCTTTATCTTCAATTAATTATTTAACTTGGAGTACCCACTATATAGGCTGGGTATGCCCAGGGAGGGTCTCCAAGAGGTCGATTCATAGCTCGTTTAACGGAATAAATAATTACCTTCCAGAGCTGGACTCGAATCCAGGAACGGAAGGATAAATGTACAGTGCCTTATTCTTTTTGTGCTATCCTTTAATGGGTTCCATAAAAATGGGTATTTTTATTATATGGGTAAACATAAAATAAAAATAATAATCAATTATACTGAAATCAATAATCTGATTAAAGAATGAAAAAAAGGTAACAGAAACTGGAGGAGGGTAAATTGCTTACAATAATTAAAAACAGATTTAGGTTTACAAACGGTCAAACTGAACGTTTGAGCATTAAATTTTTTTGAAGTAAGAGAGAATTTGAGTTGTGAAAAAATATGACAAAGATTTGTGGAGAAAAATCGTTTTTTAACATATGACATTGATTTTTTGAATTAAACAATTTAAAGCACAGCAGAAAGACATTTTTAAATTCATCATGCTCACTACAGAGTAGAGGAAAGGGTCTGATTAATTGGGGGGCTTTTGTGCTGAAGGCCTTCTTCCCTACAATAGATAAATAATTAATTTAAAAATATTTAAGTTATAGAACATGTTCTTCACCTACTAAATGTAAGTACGTGCCAAGAAAAATATATATAGAAAAATCGTCCCTAAAAGCATTATAGTCCATTTAATTACTTTTACTAAACACAATATATATAAATAGTTAACGATTGTTTATTCCCCCAAAATTAAATCTCAAATGTACTCCTGATAATGAAATGTAATCTAAAACTATAAAATGAAATATTATTCAAAGAGATTAAAAGCTCTTTTAATAAGGTCTTGTGTAAAATGAATGGTAGTTGTAACACTCTGAAAGAAGACAAACATCTTGTCTTTAAAAAACATAAAATTTAATTGCTTTTGTGGATTTTAAAACTGACAATAATCAAGCTTGAAATTTCGAAATGTTTTGAGGTGTCTGAAAAAAACAGCTATACCGGCTAACTTATATTTTCCTAGAACACTAACTACCAGAAATCGAGACCTGATTAAGAAAGAAAAAAAATACTGAAAAAACGGGGCGAAAGTAGTTAGGTAGGGAAAGTTTGATATAAAAATTATTAGTTTTTTAATGAACTTAATGAGTATTTTTCAATTAATAAATGAGAATATTTACTATTATTCCTTATTATTTAAAAAATTAAGGGCCGAAATGTGGGCATTCATAAAGTAGTTTTAATTTTTAGTATCTCAGATATATTAAAATAGATTTGTGTTTTATCTAAAAGTATTGCTAAAAATATATATATATATATTATAAGAATAAGTTTTATTAAATTATTGTTATTGAACATCAGCAGTCAATAAAATGTGTATCATGAGTAATTTCCTCAGGTAGTTAAGAAAGCAATATGATAAATAAAATCGTACATATATTTTTTATTACAAGTACTCCTTGTCCTGTTTTCTTAAAATAGTACAAAAGTATACTTCAGACAGTCCATATAGTTTTTTACGACATATGTGTTTTTTTACTGGGAAATAAAAAAGCAAAGATTTTTCAGTAATTTTATTATTTCCAGTACTGCATTTGATCGATATATAAATGAATAAGAATGGAATCCAGATGGAAATGCAATCCATAGAATTTATTTATTTACAGTATCTCATAACTATTGATAGAAAAAAAAATGAGATCGATATGTCAATATTTAAAAAAAAAATCTATAGCCAAACATAAATAATTTTCAGAAAAATCTTTGTTTGCTCTTATATTTTCTACCAAGCTTATTCAGGATCTTTATACAATTGAATTTTAAAAATTCAAACATCAGCTTAAAATTTTGGTACTTCCAACAATCGTTTAAGAAAAACAAATCAAAAAATTTTCATATTAAATTAAATAAAAAGAATTTATTTAAAAGAAAAACTATTGAAACTTTATTTTTATCAACTATACACAAAAAACGAACCAAACTTGAAAGAAAAATATTCTTCAAAAACATTTTGATATTTTATTGATACATGATTTTTTTTTTATTTGGTTTGGAAGTGAATGATTGAATTTTAATCCATTATTTAATATATAGAACGATTAATAAATCCATTATTTATTTTATAAAAAATATTTTTTTTATAAAATTAAAAATTAAATTAAAGTCTTGATTTGTTGTTTTGATTACTTTAAATAAAGATTATAAGGTTATTAGTATTATAAAAACTGTTAATCGCAAATCAACCGCTGGATAACATCCGATTCCCCCCTCTTCTCCCAATACAAAAATATAAAATGTATCAAGAATGTTTCAATAAAATTTTGTATCAATAGTTACATTCGTTAAGATTTTTTTTCTAATTAAAGCTCTGAGTAGAGTATAAATCGTAATTTAAAAAAAAATCGAAAAGCTTTGAGATTTCGCTAAACCTATTGATTCATTATTTAATTATTAAAACTATATATATCAAAGACATTTCTGTTAAAAAATAATTATTTATTATTTTTATTCCATTAATTATCATAAATTAAGTTACCTAAACAGTTTCATGTATTATAGAAATCCTTCAAATAGATATAAAAAGAATTAAGTTGTTGCCCCTGAGAACGTGGCTTAAGATATCGTACAATACATAACATAAACAAGAGCCTTCATTGAGAACGAAAATTAACTTAAAACCATAGTCTCTCGAGGTATTTTATTTTGAAAAGATAAAGTAAAATAAAGTTTGTTGTCTTTCATTTGTATATAAATTTATTATTTATACTGGAATTTTGTTTCTAGCACAAACATTTAAACAATGTTAGTTCAGTGTTTATTACAATTTTTGAAAAAAATACTGTTTTTTTTCTTTAAATATTGGTATGTTCATTTCGGTGAGATTTAATGTATATATTATACTCATTCTTTTAGTAAAGATTACTTATATATGTAATTATCTTAACGAAATGGGGTTTAGTAAAGGTAACAGAAATATTTAATTTTCTTATTTAATTGTGAAATAAAAGCAGTGGCCATTTTAATCTTGTTCAAAAATCGTACATGAAATACTTTAGATTAATTGTTTAATAAAAATAAAAGTGAATAAATTAAACAATTCAACTTAAAACCTAATCGAATATATGTATAAGAGTTTACCTCTGCTGTGTATCCATTGATGATGGGTAGATTACTGAAGACTCCTGTGCGACTTGTGTAACATCCCCTCCACAAGAACCCCGATGACCGATTATGCAATCGAAATTTAACAGATTTCTTTTTATTTTTCTTTATTATTATAATATATATATATTTTTTTTTTTACAGTTTTTGAGATAATTGATTTTTTTTTCTTAATTCTTATGTCTATGAATATATTTAAGATGGTTATTACCAATTACAATTATAAAAGGATATTAAAATTGATGATTATTACAAATTACAGTAATAAAAGGATTTAAAAATTTATTGAAAAAAAATCCACACTACACAATAAAAATTTATTTTCTTGTCATGTTTTACGTTCGATTTTTATTTTTACCTTAACATCAGACTTCATGTTCTACAAACTAGGTACATATTTCAAGATCAAATTACTACTATCTTCCTTCTCTCTCTTCTTAGAAATAAAATTAACATTATATTTAATTTTTTATACATATTTTTTAGAAATCACAACGAAATTCTATAAAATAAAGGATAGATCACCGGACGAAATACATAATAATGATATATTATTTTTTTTTTATGAAATGGTGCATGATAGGTAGGTAATTAAAATTTATTATATTATATACTAATATATACCGATTTCAATCGAATGTTTTTTGGAATACTATATATTATCGATTTAACACATTTTTACGATTTTCTCAAAAACGGCTCTAACGATTTCGACTAAACTCAGTATATCTATGTATTATTATTTTATTTTTTTAAAATCTTATTTTATTGAGAAAAAATACATGAGATGATGTGGGAGACTCAATCTTACAATATATACAATTACAAAAAAATGAAAATTATAACAAAAGGAAGAAAAAGAAAGCTAAGTAAAACAGAAGAAATAAAATATGATACAAAAAACAAAACAAAAAACATTCAGGGTAATTTACAATATGGTCAGTCGAAGGAGTTCCAAGTCGGGCCCTTTTCCCCACGCGTGGAAGATTAGGTAAGACTGTAAGAGATCCCAGCGCTTCTCTCAGACGTATCACAGTGATGGGGATCCAGTGGAGACTGAGAAAGGGCACTAAAGCCATATACGTTCATGATTTGAGTGGAAAAGCTGGCCATTGCCAATGACGTATTTACAAGAGATCTCGAGGCCACTGCCTTTTTAACCTTCGAGGGGAATTGTGTAGGGATGACTGGAACTGTATAAGGATCGTGCTAATGGATTAGGATGATGGATTAGGTTTTGATGAACATTTGAGAAACGGGATGGAATAACGTCAAGGACATAAGGGATGTTAAGGTCATTATGTAGAGTTTTGTTTGTAACATAATAAGGAGCGTTTACTAGTGTACGAAGGACTTTAGATTGGAAGGATTGGATGTACGAAAATTTAGCTGTCTCCCATAGTTCAAGGCCGTAGGTCCAGATAGGTTTTAGTATGGTCTTGTATATTAATAATTTATTTTCTATTGAGAGATTAGAGTTTCTGTTAGTAGTAATTTACACAATTGGCCAAATCGTCGATTAAGCTCTTGTCTTTTACGTCTGGTATGTGGGTTCCATGTTAGTCTTTTGTCTGAAAGGAATCCAAGATACCGAATTGGGCCTGAGAAAGGAAGAGGTGCAGAGTTGAAAAGGACAGGATCTGCGTCGGAGGGTAACGGCGACATGCTTGCATTTGGATGCTTTGGTTTTGATACACCAATTGTTGCACTATTGCTCAATTAGGGAGATGTGTATTTGTAGGTTTAAAGATGCCGTTTCAGGGTCTGGGTTGGACGACAGGATGTCGGTTTCGTCAGCGAATGTTGCTAGAAGGGTATCGGGATTGGTTTGGCTGTCTGCGGTGAAGAGGATGTAGAGAACTGGGCCCAAGACACTGCCTTGTGGAACACCAGCCTCAACTGGGTAATGATTGGAGAATTCAGTGTCGCAGCGGACTTGAAAGGAATGGCTGGAGAGATAGGATTTGAGGATTAGGTACAAGGATTGAGGTAAATGAGTTTTGAAATTAAAAAGCAAGCCATTATGACACAACCGGTCAATAGCTTGCGATATGTACAGAAAGGCACATTGCTTGTTTTCAAGCGCAGAGGAAATATGATCAACAACACAAAGGCCTTGTTGAACAGTGGAATTTCTAGAGCGGAATCCAAACTGGTGGGAAGGAAAATTGTGGGATTCAAGTATGGGTAGGATGCGTTTGAAAATAATTTTTTCAAAGAGTTTTGAGAGGATCGGGAGTAAGCTTATTGGTTTATAGGATGAAGTATTATTAAAAGGTTTATCTGGTTTAGGGAAGAAGATGATTATGAAGTGTTTCCATATCAGAGGTAAATGAGTTGTACAGAGTATACAATTGTATAGGTATGTGAGGAATATGATTGATTTTTTTGGAAGTTATCTAAGGATTTGGGAAGTTCCGAGATGATGTCCAAGGGATTTTCGAAGTTTTAGGTTGTTTATAAGGAATTTTATCTTAGAGGGGTTGACTGCTTAGAAGGCAAGGAGAGCGGAATCGGAGAAGAAATTTTTTAACTTCAGCAGTGTGGGTGGGATGGAGTTCAGGGGGAGGAGTGAATGTGTTTGGCAAATTCTTCAGCTCTAGTCTCATCTAACGAAGCCCAGGTTCCATCATCGCATCGGAGGGAATGGGAAATACAGTGGTGTTTAAGGATCTTTTTGGTAAATTTCCAGAGAGACTTCGGTGGAGAGGGAAGAAATGTAGGAATTGTAGGATTGGGATCTGAAGAAAGGCAGTTATTTATTCATCTGTTTTGAATAATAATTGTTTAATTTCCGATCATCGGAATCCATGGTCCTTTGCCAGAGGGTCCTAGATTGGCGTTTGGATTTAATAAGGTCAGTAAGGTTTTGGGATAAAGGATTGTTTTTGATCGTTTTTAGGAGGGGTGTGGTGATGATGCAGTCCAGATTGCTTCTTGGATCAAGTTAGTGAATTATCTCGGTTATCTCGGGGTTTTTAGGGATAGTCTGAGGTCTATTACATCTATTATTGTTTTGTGTAAAATATTCCAGTTTACTAATCCTCTGATTATGGAAAAGATAATCTGAGGATAGGAAATGCAGAAAGGGTTAGATTTAGTGCACTGTGGTGTTCATCGAGCCGAAAAACTAAGAAATTTAGCGGCTTACTTCTTGTGAATAAAGAAGTCAATGAGGTCAGGATTACGGTTAGAATCGGTTATCCATTATGTAGGAGTATCAGGGGAAAGGATGTTGCTATTGAGGAAAGTAAGTTCAGAGAGCAATTTTCGGCCGCGGAAATTCGTGGTTCTGGCTCCCCATTGCTGGTGTTTAGCATTAAGGTATGCACCAGGATAGATGATTAAGATATGCATATAAGGAAATGGGGTCCTAAGTAATTAAGAAAGGAAATGAAATTAGGTTCAGGTACTGTTATTTTAGGTGCAGAGTATGCTGCTACAACTGTTACAGGAAAAAGTTAGGTTTGGATTGTTATTGCTGAGGAAATTATGTACTGGTAAAAGATAAAAGTGATGGGGGATTGACGGATGATGGCGGCAGTGCCTACATGAGTTATTCCATAAGGGTAGTTAGTTCGGTAAATCTTGTAACTAGGTATGTTGAACTGTAAAAAAGCCAGGATGTTCCCACGGTTTTGTTAAAGGTTTTGTTACGAAAATAAGTGACTGGAGTGTCTTCAAGTGCTGTCTGGAAGTATTAATTATAGATGAAGAATGGGACGTGATGGAGATGGAAGTAGCTAATGACCTGGATTACAAGGTATCTAGGATCACCAATATCATTCGAGACGTTGCCGAAAACTCCCTGAAGCACCGGAAAGCGAGAGCTCGACCGGTCCCATGGTGGACGCCAGCCTTAACTGTTATTAAGAGCATACTGGTCATATCACAGGTGCAGACGTGACGATAGGCGCATTGCACTTCGGAATGAGTATAAATCTAAATAGAGGATATACCGAAACGAGGTTCGCTCACAAAAACGGAAGTCCTGCGACGATTTCATCGTCGAAGAGTCCACGAAGAATCCCTGGAGTATTCCGTACAGGGTGGCATTGGATAAGCTGGTCCCACTGCAGACGATTGCAGCTTTGAAATATCAGGATACCCAGGCAACCACCCTGGAATATACCCCAATATCCCAGGGGTGATTCAGCCAGGGACAGCGAAAATGACGGCTTTGTGTGACTTACCACGGTTTATCCGACCGGATCAGATTTATTCCCACCATGGGACATTCAAGATCTTCGTATTTCCGTGGATTAGCAGAAAATTAATCGTTCTCCAGGTCTTGATGCAATAGACGCGGCAATCTTAAGGAACAGTATTCCTTATATTGAAGATCATATTTTAAGATTTTTCAATGAGTGTCTAGATACGGGATACTTCCCACGAAGCTGGAAGATTGCTGATTTAAGATTCCTGAGATTGCTGAGAGAAAGAGATAAGCAACACCCTAACTCATATAGATCTATATGTCTCCTCCCTGTGAAGAGCAAGGTCTTGGAGAACCTCATGATGTCTAGCTTACGCCCTGTTTTCAACAGAACAAGCCATCCAATGCAATACGGTTCAACTATAGGCAGAGGGACCGCTGATGCTCTGCTGAGATTGCGCCTAAATGTTGAAGAGTGGGCGGAACGTTATGTTATGTTATCACTTTTTGATATATCTTCCGCCTTCGACAGTGTATGGTGGCCTAGCGTGCTCCAGCAGCTGCAGAGATACGATGCTCCCAGCAATTTATAGTCACTTGTAAGAAGCTACCTCACGGACAGGCGTGTCAAGATCAGAGGGAATCACTATGAGGTAGAAGCTTCCATAGAGAGGGGATGTCCTCAGGGATCAGTCCTTGGCCCTGCTCTGTGGAAGCTTGTCTTCGATGAATTGCTGAGAGTGCTAGAGGAAGAGCGGTTCCCTGCTACTTTCTATGTGGATGACGTAGCTCCTGTCAAGGCAGAAGCAGAGCGATGCGCTGGCCTGGTCGCAAGGTGGTGTGAGGGGAAGGAAATGAGGATGGCTGCTGCCAAGACT